CATGACTACTGGAAAAACCATAGCCTTGACTAGACAGACCTTTGTTGACAAAGTAATGTCTCAAACAACAACAACAACAACAAAGTAATGTCTCTGCTTTTTTATGTGTTGTCTAGGTTGGTCATAAATTTCCTTCCAAGGAGTAAGCATCTTTTAATTTCATGGCTGCAATCACCCTCTGCAGTGATTTTGGAGCCCCAAAAATAAAGTCAGCCACTGTTTCCACTGTTTCCCCATCTATTTGCCATGAAGTGATGGGACCAGATGCCATGATCTTAGTTTTCTGAATGTTGAACTTTAAGCCAACTTTTTCACTCTCCTCTTTCACTTTCATCAAGAGGCTCTTTAGTTCTTCACTTTCTGCCATAAGGGTGGTATCATCTGCATATCTGAGGTTATTGATATTTCTCCTGGCAGTCTTGATTCCAGCTTGTACTTCCTCCAGCCCAGTATTTCTCATGATAAACTCTGCATATAAGTTAAATAAGCAGGATGACAACATACAGCCTTAACGTGAACTTTTCATTCCATCAATAAAAAAAAGTGTTAGTTGCTCAGTCGTGTCTGACTCTTTGCAACGCTATGGACTGTAGCCCCCTGGGCTCCTCTGTCCATGGGATTCTCCAGGCAGGAATACTGGAGTGGGTAGCTGTTCCCTTCTCCAGGGGATCTTCCCAACTCAGGGACTGAACCAAAGTCTCCTGCATTGCAGGTAGACTCTTTACCATCTGAGCCACCAGGGAAGCCCAATCAATAAAGGTATTGATCATTTCCTTGAAAAGTCTAACATTTCCAGATTGAAAACTCTTTTTGAAATACAAGTATAAAAACAAAAGAAACAAAAACAAAAAATGAAATACAAGTATAATACTAATTTAGATTTTTGTTTACCTATACTCAATTTTCTCAAAATGTAAAATATCTTCAAACACAATAAACAGGCCAAAGCTGCTTTAACTTGAAACACATGATATGATTCAATATCTGGCACGTGATGTCCTCCTGCCAGGAAATTCTTTAACCTCAGATCTTCAGACTCAGTAAAATAAATAGTATTTTTTTTTAAATTGGTAGTTCAGTGAAAATAAACAAAAGCAGTTTCCATCTGGTTTGACATTGATCCTGAATTATTTTCAAATCATCACTCTGCCCCCTTTTCAAACTAGATCACAAATCTTTTATTTTTATCATTTAAAAGTCTGATTTATTTATTTAAAATAAAAGTTAACTTTTAAAAACAAGCAACACTTCTTTAAATATTCACATACTTCTTCTCCAAACAATAAATCAAAAATATAATTCCCTAAACTTTCATACTTTGATTATAAGCTTAAACGTATCAAAATGTACATTAAAAGCATAAGTATATCAGATTTTCTTGGTAGCTCTCTGTAGTCAGCTGAATGATGACCACCTAAAGATATCTGGTCCTAATTCCTAAATCTTATAAATGTTACTTTATAAGGAGCAATGGCCTCTGTTGGTGTGATTAAGGATCTCTCTTTTAAAAAAAAAAAAAAAAAGCGAAGGCCTTTTAGTCCCTTTAATTGGCTATATCTAATCTTTTATATTTCAATTTTAATTTTTTTTAATTATGAAAGTATGATAACAATCACAGCAGACTTGGAAAATATAGAACAAGGTTACATACAGTTCTACTATGTATTACAATTATTTTTTTAAGTGGATAAATTAAGATTTTTAGTTGGAGTTTCAATATCAAACTCCCCAAAATTAATAGAATGAATATACAGAGAAGTAGGCAGATACAGTAGACCTGAAAAGCAATATGAACCAGTTCAACATAATTAAGATTTATACATTTTCACAGAACAGTAGGATACAAATTCTATTCAAGTTCCCATAGACTGTAAACTAGGAGACACTGGAACATATTCAGGGACATAAAGCAAGGTGCAAAAATTTCATGGTCTAAAGGTATTGAAATAATACAGAATCTGTTCTCTTATCACTGTGGAACTGTTAGAAATCACTATCAAAAGATGTTTGAAAATAACCCACATATTTTCAAATGACATTTACCAAGAATGATCTTTGACTTAGCCATCAAAAACTTCAATAAAGTCAGACTGAAAAAAACACATAGGGTGACTGCAGAGAAGAAAGCCTTTAAGTGAGAAATTAGTATCCAAATGAGAAATTAATATTAAAGATACTTTAAACAAAATCCTATGTAATTAGAAATTAAGTGTCCACTTTTAAATGATGGGTGTTAGATCACAAATCTTGAGGAGGGCAGAGGTCACACTAGTCTTACCCTTACACCATCACAAAGTCCAGCACAACACCTGGAACATATATAATAGGGGCTCAATACATGTTTCCTGAACAGAGAAAATGAGCAATAAATGAAAGTTTGTGTACAAAAATAGTAGTCATTCACAGTTTTGCCCAGAATCAAATAGAGACATGCCCAATGCCTTCTAAAAGGGAAATCTGGGGGCAAAAATCACCATCTCAGATAGATAAATAATAATAATAATCTCAAAGTGTGTGCATGCTAGGTCGCTTCAGTTGTGTCCTACTCTTTGCAACCCTATGGACTGCAGCCCACCAGACTCCTCTGACCATGGGATTCCCCAGACAAAGAATACTGGAGAGGGTTGCCATGCCCTCCTCCAGGGGATCTTCCCAACCAACCCAGGGATCAAACCTGAGTCTCTTATGTCTCCTGCATTGGCAGGTGGGTTCTTTACCACTAGCGCCACCTTTTTGGTCTCAGTACACCTTTACGCTATTAAAAATTATCAAGAACCCCAGAATTTTTGCTTATACAGGACACACCCATCAATATTTTGGGCTTCCCAGGTGGCACTATCGATGATAGGGAATTTGTCACTCAAGAATTTGGGCAAATTCAGCCTCTCGAGTAACCCTGACTCATACCTGCACCGACCACTTTTCTATAAGAACAGTTAATTGGAACGATTCCTAGGAAAGTCACCTTGGGAAGTGACTTTTCACTGCACTTCATTCTCCTGTTTGGGACCCTCAACCTGCTCACCAGCCTACCTGTGGCCACCTTGCTTGGATCAGGTTGTGTACCTAATACAGGCTGGGCCAATTGCATCCTCCCTCCTGGGAATTTGGTACTGGGCTGAGGATAACCAGTTGCTTGGCTAATTATCTCTGCAGGAGATATTAGTGGTCATAATAGTGGCCATCATAGAGGGATCATCTCCCACCCGGCCCAGCTGCCCACCAAGAGGAAGAAACAAAGTCGACTGCAGAGAGAGAGAGACAGGCATCAGGGACAAAGCTGGAGAGGGGTCTGCCTGGCTGGGTGGCAGCCACCTGTCCTGGGCCTCAATGAGACATGCCTTTATCTATGTACTTCCCTTCCCGCTTCAGCCAGTTTAGGTTGGTGACTTGCAACCCAAAGGTCTTAACGGAGGCAGACAGAGCCAGAAGCATCCATGGGTCTTTCCCGAAAGCCAGGTGCCTTAAAGGATTCTGGAGAGCTCTGCAACCCTAGATACACATTTACTCTCTGAAGACTTGACCGGACAAAAACATCTTTCCAATCTAAGGCCAACGAGATTAGGAAATAGCATTTCCTCCAGCTTTCCATCCCCCCAGGGCAAATGTACAGATGACTGCAGTTGGCAATTGACTCTGTGGGTTAGTATTTGCTGAGGGCACACACCCAGAGACTCGAGCGACAGAAATGCCCAGGTGCCAGGCAGGAGGCTGGCCCATCATGCTTCCAACCACTGACCTGTCCTCCCTCCTCTAAGTCAGCACTCAGCGGAGCCCCAACCCAGCATGACTGGTAGAATGACCCACTTAAAAGTGCCAATTTTTAGCAGCTGGAAACAACAAACATAGAGGGAGCTGAAGATGCCAGAGGATGGATTTCTCTTTGTGTGTGCATGCTAAGCCACTTCAGTCATGTCTGACTCTCTGTGGTCCTATGGAATACAGCCCACCAGGCTCCTCTGTTCATGGGATTTTCCAGCCAAGAACACTGGAGTGGGTTGCCATTTCCTCCTCCTGGGGATCTTCCCAACCCAGGGATTGAACCCACAACTTCCGTATCTCCTGCATTGCAGGAGGCTTCTTCAGAGCAAGGCCACCAGGGATTTCTCTTTACCTGTTTTCATAAGATGCTCTAGGACCAGCGATCCATTCCAAGGATGTAACGCAACAACCATGCAAAGCTGGTGCAGCTGGAGTGGTGGTGTGACAGTCGGTTAGTCCACACAGCTCCCTGGGCCTCGGGTTTTACGGCTGCAGAATGAGGAGGTAGATGTAGACTGTCTTTAATATCCTTTTCATCCTCAACTTTCTACAATCTTTGTGCGCTGGAGAGATTTACACAGAACTTCATCTTGCTTTTATTACTCATAGTTCATCTTCCTCTGACAGAGCAAGCGGCAGCCTGTGCAGAAGTAAGTGGCTCTCTCTTCCAGGATGATTTAAGAGGCGCTGACAACCCCAAGCACCTTCTTCACATTCTGTCACAGCCCAGGCCCAAAGCTTGTCCATCCCAGAGCCAGCCCTGGGATCCGAGCACGGGCTATTGTTGTTGTTCAGTCACTCAGTTGTGTCCAACTCTTTGCGATCCCATGGACTGCAGCACGCCTGGCTACCCTGTCCTTCACCATCTCCCAGAGCCTACTCAAACTCATGTCCTTTGAGTCGGTGATGCCATCCAACCATCTCATCCTCTGTTGTTCCCTTCTCCTCCTGCCCTCAATCTTTCCCAGCATCAGGGTCTTTTCCAATGAGTCAGCTCTTTGCATCAGGTGGCCAAAGTATTGGAGCTTCAGCTTCAATATCAGTCCTTCGGATTGACTGGTTTGATCTCAAGAGTCTTCTCCAGCACCACAGTTCAAAAGCATCAATTCTTTGGTGCTCGACTTTCTTTATGGTCCAACTCTCACATCCATACATGACTACTGGAAAAACCCTAGCTTTTACTATGCAGACCTTTGTGGATAAAGTAATGTCTCTTTTTAATATGCTGTGTAGGCTGGTCACAGCTTTTCTTCCAAGGAGCAAGCGTCTTTTATTGGGATCTGTTGATGGTCCCCATCGAAAGGCAGATACCTACATTCCCCATTGTTTCTCATGGAGTGTATTAGCCTGGACTCCCCTCTGGATTCCCTAGAAACGGCACTGAGAATGGGATTTGGCAGAGGCGCCGTGGCCAGAAGGGTCTGGGGCCCAGGGCATGGCGGTTGCAAACCCGCCTGGGCGGTTGAGTGTGCAGCGGGATCTGCAGGCAGCGAAGGCTCCAAGGGTAGGTGAAGAAGTAGCTCTGAGTCAACTGCACTAGCCACTGACCGAGACAGGAGGGGAGTCAGGTCCATTTCTCTCCCCGAGTCTCTTCTCCTCTTCAGGCTGCCCAGCAGGAAGTCGAAGAGCCTCCGATCACCCTCCACAGGTCCCTCCTCCAGTCAGGGAACGCCTGCCCTTAGGCCCTCAGAGATCAGCCTGACAGCAAGATGAGGGAAGGTGACCACCCTGGAGACAGTGGCCTGATTCTGCTGTGGCGCAGCTGCCCAGAACCACAGGTGCCCCTTGCATTGCAGGGCTTCACAGCTGCTGCCCGCTGGCCCGGTGGCACCGGCTTCCTTCCTTTCCTGGCTGTCTGCCTAAGAAGACACAGCCCACTATGGCACCTGCCCACCCCAAAGACAAGGCTTGGGTAGAACGTCGCTGGCAGTCCAGTGGCTAAGACTCTGCGCTAACAATCCAGGAGTCCCGGGTTCCATCCCTGGTCAAGGAACTAACTAGATCCTGCAAGCTGCAACTAAGAGTTCACCTGCCTCAACTATAACCCGGCACAGTCAAATAAATAAATGCACAAAAATAAATTAAAAAAATAAGGGGGGGGGGGCTTGTGTGTCAGGTTGTACTAATCCCCATTTCTGGTGGCTTCAGCTCTTAAACCATAAAAAAGGAGAAAGGATAACCAGGAAGAGAACTTCCTACTGCTCCTATGGGGGGATTTATTTATTAGTATGGGAGCTGTATGAGGTTTAGGAATAAATGAGCCATCAGATAGCACCCTGAGGTATTATTCTTCGACACAGTATCTTAAACACGGATTCCCCTGCACTGTATTGGAACAGATGTCACACATTACATTAGAGAACCAAGCTTCCCACGGACTTTCTTAGAAGGCTAGGCTTGTCAAATCTTTATCTCATTTGTGAGTGAGGATTAAGGCGTGTTCTGGTAATTTATGTGCGTGTAGATATTAAGTAGAAGTAAAAACAACAACTGAAGCAAAAACCATCCTTAGCAGTGTCTTGAAATCTTCTGAAAAGAAACTGTGGAAGAGCCCGAGAGAACCAGGTGTGTTTCCTATTTCCTGTGGATAAACAGGAAAGGAACACACGTGAATGGAGGACCACAAGCATTCCATCACCACCTTTCTCCTTAGTCTCCAGAGCAAACATCCTGTAAAGTACCCAAAGGGCCCAAATTCCAGTTATTCCCAGGGGTTCTCCATGGTCCAGCAGAGGTTTCTGGGTATGTTGCCCGAGTCCCATTAAACCTTCAAGTTTAATTCATCTTGGCTGGTTTCCCTCTACTGTAGATTTCCTTTGCAAGAGAACGGGAACTGGGGGGATTGAAGAACTCTTATTGGGGAGTCTAGCAATGTTGCACCAGGACACCAGCCTGGGGCCGAGGGAAATTCCCTCATGAACCCCAGGGGGGCCTGGGTTAACTGAAGGCAGGCACAGCTCCTCCAGCACTCAACTCCGGAGAGGGTTTAGGAATCCAGAGACTCCTGCTAATGAAAGGTCTGCTCAACATCCTGGGGCTAAAGATGAACCGATTACCTCCACTGTGAAACAGGAATCTGCAAAGAATTTTGAGCACAAACCTACCGGCAAATCTACCTGCCCATCCTGCAAACAAGGTGTGCTAAAGCCTAACCGTTTGTCTGAACCGGGCCAGTACTAGGTCACAGGAGAATATGGGTTAGGAGTCACAGACATCTAGGTGTGAACCCTGGGTGGGCTACCAAGAGCTGTGTGACCACACCCAAGACAAGCAGCCTGTCCCCTGCCTCAATGTCCTCGAGTGCAAATGGGAATAGAACAGACTCACACGATCTGGAGCTACTGAGTCTGAAGAAGCTGGAAACGAGTACGTGCGGCCTCATTTCTGCAAGCAGAAATACCACACACTTCTTTCCCTGGGGTTTCGAGGTCCGGGCCTCCTGGTTGGTACACTGACCGGCCCCTGCAGCGCAATTCAGCCCTAAAGGACCCTCCAACCCCGGCCCACCGCACCAACTTGCTCCCCGCTCTCTCGTGCCTCCCTCTCTCTCCCATCTGGCGCTCTCACAACACTTTCTAAAACAGAAAGGCCTACCGCCCTTTAATCCGTGCTCAACGTCAAGGGCAGAATCGTCACGAAAGTGAGCAGCCCGGCTTTCCGGGCGCGGACGGGCAGGGCTCGAGGGCGGTCCCGGGCAGCGGGCGGGGCCAGCCCCCTCTGCCCAGCCGAATTCCAGATTCGGAGCCTGGGGAACACCCTCTGCCCGAGCGTGTGTGCTACGGCCGACACCCGGGAGCCGCCCGCAGCCCTGGGGGGCCGGGGGCGTGGAGACCGGGGAGGAGGGGTGGGAAGAAGATGGGGAGGGAGGACGTAGAGGAAGGAGGAGGGGAGGGGAAGAGGCAAGGAAGTTGGAGAAAAGGAGGTCGGGTTGGGGGGGGAGGAAGTGGGGGGAGGAGGCAGGACGAGGGAGGGGAGGGAGGGGAAGGAGGGAGAGGAGGACGGGGTGGGAGGAGGAGACGGTGCGGAGCCCGCAGGCGCTTGCGGGGAGGAGGCGGGGGGAGTGGAGGGGGAGAGAGGGGGAAGGGAGGGAGCGGGGTGGAGGAGGGGCGCGGGGGAGGAAGGAGGAAGTGGGGATCAGTGGAGCGGGAGGGCGCGGACCCCTCCCCGGCTCCCGAGGACCGGTGGATGCCGACCGCGAGCACCGCTCTGGGACAGCGGACCCACTTTGGAAGAGTAGGGTAGCACGGCGGGGCTTTTCTGGAACAAGAAAAAACAAAACAAAAAAGCAAAAACCGATAACAACCAAACCAAGCGCAGGCCGCCCCGCCCCACCCCGCCCGGGCCTCGGCGGCATTAGCGGGGACGTCGGGGAGCGGGGACCGTGGCCCTCGGGGCGCGGGGGGCACTCCCCGGGGTCCACGGCCGCACAGTCCGGGAACTGGGCTCCGTCAGACTTCCGGGAGGCAGGAGGCTGCTCTTCTCCAAAATCCACCAGACTCCTCTGATGCGCTTTTCTTAACAGTGGAAAACTACAAAAAACAAAAAAACATAGCCATGAAAATAAGTGAGAGAAGAACCCGCCGGCTTCACGTCCTTGGAGGCGTTCTGTTGAGTCTTGAAATTCGGAGTCATTGCGGGTGAGCCTTGTGAGCGCCTTTCTAACCCATCCACACTGATGCGTGTGCGTCTCTGCTGTGTTTAACACTGGGTGACGGTGACGTGGTGACATCGTATGAAGTTGATTTGGTGATGATTTTTGCTTTGGTCCGGTTACCTTGCTTCACTTGATAACACGACGTAAACGCATACACGTTGCAAAGAGAAAGGCACAGAAGGAGCAGTTATCTTTTTAACTCTGGTTTAAAATAGATGAGAAGCCCCAAGGCGCTGCCAGCACTGAAAGAATGAAGGGTTAAAAACCACAATTATGCATTGGCTCCTTCATAGTCATTCTCCATAAGTTAACATTGTAAATCATTAAATAAAAAGGACGAAAACCCTATTCCTTGTTATAAATTTACAGTTTTAGAAAAGGTGTCATTACATCATATGTGCTGAATCACATTATCAGGTCTGTATGTGAGAAAGAATTTCTGCTCTGAAATAGAGCAGCTTTAATGCTTATGTGCCAAGAAGTGCTTCTTAGGAAATTTCCAAATGCAATCAATTAATACCAAACAGATGCAGTAGGGGGTGCTTACTAAAACTGAAAGCCCTTCTCCCAAAAAAGGCACCCCATTTTCCTTTCAAATGAGCCTGGAAATCATTCATTTTCAATTGGCCAATGAGGATTGATGATCTCTCCAAAATCAGAATGGGGCATCTTTTCCATGGTAGGTTAATAGGCCCAATTCAGTTTACAAAAATGTCTTTGGGCCAGGACTCATTCACCTGCATAAAATCAAAGACGCGGTGATGTGTGTTTTATCACATTGAACAGCAGTAGTGAAAGGATGGATGTTCATGGGAACAGGATGCCCAGACAGAGGTTTCACTGAACCACATACCAGCTAATGAATGCAGAAAAGTCCCTGGGAGGTAGGTTGTAGGCTGGCGCTCCATCCATCACTCCTCCTCGTTTTCCAGGCCTGTTTGTTTGCCCTTTGAAGTGTGTTTTAAACTTTTGAATTTGTTATCTGTATTAAAAATCAGGATATTTCACAGGGAAAGCTGGACTTTTGGCCTCTCTGAAATCTGAGAAGACCTGAAGCAGAGTGGCAGTGTGCGCACGCGCGCACACACACACACACACACACACACACACACCACTGTTGTCCTCTTAAGATAGTTGTTTGCCCTGTACCCCAAGTTTTCTGACCCCAGACAAACTACTTCATCTATTGTTCAGCCGTTTTATAAGGATCATTAAAGTCATAGGTGGTTTCGACACTCTCTGTCTAGATGTAATGCATGTATAATTAAAACCTCAAATCTTGACTTCCAGAAATTCATCTTGACAGATTCAGCAAATCAGAAACTGAATAAAGACAGACACAACGGAATGTCCTGACTCCTCCTTGGGGCATTTCCCCAAAATGCAGCAAGACACAGGGGAGCATGTGGTCTCAGCAATTAAACTACATACCTGCTAGGCAACGTTAGGCAAGTTATTTACTATCCTAACTAGCACAAGTTATTTACTATCCTTACTTCCCTGGTGGTTCAAATGGTAAAGAATCTGTCTGTAGTGCAGGAGACTCAGGTTTGATCCCTTTGTCAGGAAGATCCCCTGGAGAAGGGCATGGCTACCCACTCCAGTATTCTTGCCTGGAGAATCCCATCCAGGGACAGGGGGCTTTGGGGGCTACAGCCCATGGGGGTCTCAAAGAGTCGGACACAAATGAGCAACTAACATACCAGCACGATTATGTAAAGAAATTATCCTTCAATTAAAAATAAGTAAATTTAAAATAAAAAATACATACTAAAACTACCCCTTTGAAAGACTGAATATTGAGTTATTATATGTGAAAGAATATTGAACAGCCCCTGGTCCATAGGAACCACCCCAAATATTAATTTCTCCTGCCCTTGGGATTTCAGTTACTAATGCACGTTCTTGAGAGAGAATTATTACTAGATTCTACTTTAGTAGAATTCAGCCTTTGGTACCTGCAGGAGATTTATCTGGAAACTCATTTATGCTTGTTTCAGGGTCCTGCTCCTAAGATTTTGATACAGGAAGTCTCAAATAGGGCCCTGGGGTTTCACATGTTAACATTTAATTCTGGGGCACAAGTTCTCAGCCCTCAGTCTGACAGTCCCTGTCCTGGACTTGCATTGGCTTTCGAGGGAGAGAGGTGGGGCTGGAGGCCTGGGCCGAGTCCCAGGCCGTCTCGGCCAGCCTTCTGGCCCTGCAGCTAGACTGGACCCCTCTCTGGATCCCTCCTGCCAGCTCCTGGACTCCCAGGCATTTACTGAGCAGCTGCTGGAAGCACCCTGAGCTGGCATCAAGCACGCAGGACAAATGAAGCGGTTCCTGTCCACAGGGAGCCCAGGGCACTAAATTCCAAGGTCCCAGTTTCTGCCTTTCCCTGGTGGCTCAGCCAGTGAAAAATCTGCCTGCAATGCAGGAGACCTGGGTTGGAGTCCTGGGTCAGGAAGATCCCCTGAAGAAGGGAATGGCAACCCACTCCAGTATTCTTGGCTGGAGAATCCCATGGACAGAGGGGCCTGGCGGGCTACAGTCCATGGGGTCACAATGAGTTAGACAGGACTGAGGGACTAAAGTTTCCACTTCTGCTTCTCCTACGGCTCAGCATGTAATACACACCATTCCAAGTGACGGTGTTCTGCAAGATGCTCCCCAATACCATCAGCACCACCCCTCCCCCCAGCACTGCACTCCACACCACGACAGAGTCACTTCTGCCTTACCCGAGGACACTTAGCACAGCACTGCTTAGGTGCTTATTAGATATTCATGGAATCTAACTTCTTTGGACAAATCTGTCTTCTGAAAGCTGGTTGATGTTAATTCACTCATCAAATATTTATGAGCCAGGAACTCTTACAGAAACTGGGGATAATAGCCATGAGCCAAATGTAATACCCCTGCCCACCTGGAACTTCCATTCGAGTTGGGGAAGAAAGGCCATATAAACAAGTGACTTTGCATGCTGGTGTTGGGGGTTGTGGTCTGTACCCTGACATTTGCTGCAATCTTGTTTGCTCTCACTAATACCTCCGTTCCCTGCCAAGTGGCCTTCTTTCCCAATCCCAGTCTACACAACCCTCACTCGTTGGCAATTCTGTCTGAGGCCAAAGAGCAAACCGGTTATTTTATTGCGTCTTGAATCAAAGTGTCTGCATATCTCCTCTAGGTGTGAACCAAGTTCAGCCATTCGTTTCCACATGCCAGAAGCTTCCACAAAAAGTGAAACTTGGATATTCTCTTACAAAGTCTTAAGAAGAAGTCTTGATAGAAGCCTGGTGACTCTGCTGTTCCATTGTTTGGTCCTGTTATAATATCGCTTTTCTTTTTAAGCTTCTTAGCTATTAGTAAAAGTGTTAGTCCCTCAGTCAGGTCTGACTCTTTGCAACCCCATGGACCCACCAGGCTTCTCTGTCCATGGAATTCTCCAGGCAAGAATACTGGAGTGGGTAGCCATTTCCCTTCTCCAGGGGATCTTCCTGACCCAGGGACTGAATCTGGGTCTCCTGTATTATAGGTGGGTTTTTCACCGTCTAAACCACCAGGGGAGCCCTTATTAGCTATTACGCCAAGTATAAAAGTAACTCTGACTACTTTGCATTCATATCCTGTAGCTTAATTTGAGTAGACTTTTAATAATTTATCAGTAAAAGGTAATCTTACCTTTAGATATGTGATTTTTCAGAGAACATTTTGCTGCATTCTTACTGAGCTCTTTGTATTTTTCTGGGTCTGACACTTGTTATAGAGAAATACAAGTCCAATTTTGTCATAAAAATGAGAGAGGATTTCAGTATTCTATCAAGTGAGTTACATCTGAAAATTCAGGTAAAGAAGTATAATTTTCATTTCTTTTCTAAAGAGGCAACTTTTTGTGAAAATGCCCCCAAATGTATTATTTCTATCTCTCCGAATGTGTATATTTTTTATTTTATTCTGCCCCCCCAACCCCCGCACTATGTGACATGCTGGATCTTAGTTCCCCAAACAGGGATTGAACCACACTCCCGACAGTGGAAGAACAGGGCCTTAACCACTGGGATACCAGGGAAGTCCCTGTATATTTTTATATTTGACCTCTATCTGGGATCATCTTTGGCTCTCAATTGCATACATTTTATCATTTCCCGAGTCTGTAAGACTTCCTGTTGAGAAATATGAACTGGGTCAGTGGAAATTCTTTGGGAAGCCAACTCAGACACCTAGGATTTCCTTTATGCTATGAAATGCAAGATAAACAATTTTGATTTGGACATAATATCATTCTTTAGTCTGGCAACTGGTGAATAAGCAGGTAGAATTAAAATGTGTTGGACCATGGATGATCATCTAGCGAGTAGCCAGTTGCTGTGCTTCGCACAATTTCAGACTGCTCAGTCAGAACTGAATTTGAAAGTCTATATATGGGCACTATTGAAAGTGGCCATTAATAGATTCAACTACCATCAGAGCCACTGGAGTGTTAAAACCATAAGATGTGGCTACTCTGATATCAGAACTCAGGTTATCAGAATTCTTACATCAGGATATTAACACATGGTCCAAACCAGAGCCCAAAGTTTATTAGGAGAACCTGAAAGGAAAGAAAGTACATGCTCTGTTCCTTTCTAGTCCCCTTTTCTCCCACCTGGGAGTGTGGGTTGAGAGGGCAAATGGAATAAGAGTGAAATTTTTTTAACACGTATCTGTTTATTTATCACGCCAGGTCTTTGTTGCAGCATGCAGGATCTTCTTTAAGGCACGCTGGATCTCCCATTGTGGCATGTGAACTCTTAGCTGCGGCATGTGGGATCTAGTTCCCTGACCAGGTGTGGAACCCAAGCCCCTTGCTTTGGGAGTTCAGTCTTAGCTACTGGACCACCAGGAAAGTCCCCAAGGGTGAAAATTTTGAACCTAGGCCATGCAAGCCACGATAATAATTGTGAGAAATCTGCTTTTATTTTAACCGACATTTCCCCTCGGTGAACTGACCTTTAGTGATTGGAATATCTGGAACGCACACTATAACTTGGGTGTCTTTAGGCTAAAGGTTGAGACAGGAGAAGGTGAGGTACAAGGGCCTCAGGTGACACTTG